TAAGAAAATGTTATATTAAAATAAATTTGATCGCAGTTATTCATCTTATTTTCTTAGGAACGTAAACAAAACAACGAACATTTCCCAGAATCGTTTACAAAAGGAGTTCCAGAAGGAATTTGGTGGGCTTTTATCTCCATGACAACTGTTGGGTAAGTTTATTTCTTTACTGACGTCGGTCCATTTCCCACATTGAAAAATTGAATAACCTATGAAGTTAACTTAAACCTTATACTAAAATTAATCCCAATCCTTCAAAATCTCGCCTTAAGGCTGGTGATTTTAGGTAGTAACACCAGCATGTTTAGTAATGTACATAATTTGTTTCAGATACGGTGATCGAAGTCCAGTTACTGTGCCCGGTCGCCTGTTTGCTTCGGTTTGGATTCTGATTGGTCTCGTGATTATCTCGATCGTCACGGGGGCGATCATCACGTCGATTTCGTCAGTATTAGTTATACAAGAAGACAAAATTTATGGCGCACAGGTAATGAAAAGAACCTTTTTTGGGGCTCATTTTCTTCAATTTTGGCGACTGTTCATGTAATCTAGCTTTCCTGGAGTGATATCTACTTTTGATGTATTGAAAGAAGTAACGGTTATAATCTTCAGAAGTTGTGTTGAAATTGTTAATTTTAAAAAGTTCTGAAATACAACTGAATTCTGAAAAGAGAAATTCTTTTCAAGAGTTCATGCATTCAAGGTACTACTATAAGCGTCTTTGTGAATTCATTGTGGACTTATATTACTGCTTAATTACAACTTTCTTTAAGGTCGGGGCTATTGTAAATTCAACTGAATACTCAAAGGCAGTTAGACAGAATGCAGATGGTAAGGCGTTTTCTATAAGGTGTCTTTGGTAATAAAGATGATAGTTTAAATAGGATCAATGTTTACAATATATCAGATACTGTATAGTTAGTCTGCGCTGGTTTAAGTTTCCCTGGGGGGACACCCTTCCTCTCCCCTCCTCCCTGGATGGAAGATAATTCAGTAATGAGACAGTGGCATTCCCAGGGACTATCTACTTGGCCGTAGCTCGATTAAGTTGGCTTTTCGTCTTATTTCCGTGTGATTTCGCGGAACGTTGCAATATTCTATTAAAATTGCGTTTCCACTTTGAAACTTTTTCAGTTGTTCCTTACAACAATATGGAGGATTTGATCAACGCAATGCACAACAAGGAGGTGTCAGGAGCTTTACTTGACATGTACGCAACTAAGAAAAGTATGTTGGAAGGAGGAGATATCCAGTTCAATCGTCTGATAGAATATCCAACTGGTTATGGTTTTGTCCTGTCTGGAAACATGGCCAAAGCCGCGCCATTATTCCGCCAAGCTCTGGCTGCGCAAAAGACCAAGATCTCGTTGATTGTCGAAGAAAATACAGATTCCATATCTCTTGTAAGTCTCACGAATTGCGCTTTAAAACTTCCTTTTGCTTTTGCAAAGATCCGTATGGTCACGACATAAAAATTAGCCATGTTAGTTTTAACATTTTAAGTTAGTTTTAACCCCAAAAGTATGATAGATAACATCTGCCCAATGTGAAAGTTCTGGGGACAGAGCTACCGTAGAACAATTTAAACTTAGGTCGTGACCATGTGAGTTCGGTACGGGTAGGGACATGTCGCAGCTCTCAAAAGCTTGGATAATACCAATTGGATAATGCTTTTCTATGCTTTCTAAAGAACAAAGCTATGCTATTGGTTGGTTCAGCCAATGAAAATCATTCTTGCGAGAAGCTGCGACATTACCCTTACGGGTATGGTGTAAACGGGATCTAAGACTAAGTTGGCGAATGTTTTTACAACAGGATAGAAACGAGGCTGATGAAGCCAAAGAGAAATCTTCTGGGTTTTTCGATCCCTCGGCAAAAGCGTTTCAAGAGTCGTTTAAAGTGACCGTCTTTTTACTGGCTGTGGCAATAATCCTCGGCTTGATTTGGCATCTTGGAATTCGAAGGTACAAGAAAAAGAAGAAAGAGAAGCGAAGTAAGAAAGTAAAACTGGGTGAGTTTTCCTTTTTCGACGCGCTATTTTCGTGTCGTAGAATTGTGATGAATGTTCGTATTCCATAACTCCTAGTTCCAGTCCACAAAGCATGTTGTGTTCGCCCTGTTTGCGTTCTGGGTTAATTCAGATGAGTTTACATCCACCTGAAATTTTGTACAAAACAGGTTCTTTCCTCTCGCATGCCTTCGTGTTTATAACAGTTAGAGTTCGTTTTGAATCGCTGAAGTGCGCTTGTTTGGCGTTAAATGCATTAAGTTCTGATTCTTTCTTCTCCTACACAGATAGATAAATAGGTTTAATAAATTGAAAACGTGCAGCTAAAGTATTAGGTCCTGTTCACATGGAGCGAGTTATCACGGCTAGACGAGGCAAACCTGATTAGTCTTTCATTATATGCAGTTTTCACCTCTCCTAGCCGAGATAACTCGCTCCATGTAAACAGGCCGTTACTATGGCTGAAAAACGTTACGTTTCACAATTTTAAAAGATATAAAATTAGTATAAGGTTAAAGTTGACCTTAAATTTACATTGTAAAATCAGTTCGATACAGTTAAAAATTTACATAAACTACAAATAATAAAATCGTTCTTGAATCTTTTTGTTTTAAAACGTGGGATCTTAAATTCTTCGTCTCTACCTTCGCAGAAGACAGTATTCCTTCATTCCGAGTCGCAGAATACCTCAGAACGGAGGGTCGCGAGTCACTGGAGGATTTCGCCAAATTCTTAAAACAGCAGATTTCGGCTCTTAGAGATAAACAAATTCGTGAGCGTAAGGGTACGAGGTTTTACAAAGCCGAGAGAGCCAGACTCCGTCCAACTAGATCGCCAATATCTTTCGACCTGCGAGGATCGAGGACACGGGTCAGTCCCGAAGTGAATACGGCTTTCGAAAAAGATGATGAGTCGGACACATCGCCCCGTCAGTCTTCCATTTCATCCTTTAATGATTTTCGAAAAAGGAAATCTGGTCAGGTCGCTCCAATTGTGGAGGAACGTTCTCCGTCACAAAGTCATCTGAGTCTTATCTCTGTAAGCGATGAAGAGGATTTACAGGATAGTCAATTCTTTCCAATGAAGGATCGTTCCCATCGCGAGCTCAACATAGTCGAACTTCTTTAATAGAGAAAGGCGATATCCAGTCTAGTCAGGTATTTCCAATGCAAGACCGTTTCTCGTCGAGGAGTTATCATAGTCGTATCTCCTTAAAACAGGAAGACGATGTCCAGTCTAGTCAGGTATTTCCAATGCAAGACCTTAACAAAGTTAATCTTAATCCTAAACCTAATCCTGACCTCATTCCCAACACTAACTCTTTTCCTAACCTAACCAGTTAATCTTTCAATAAATATTTCAGATGTTGTGAACATGGAATAGCCAATAACACTTAAACTATTTCAGACCATGCGACTTGAAATGGGTTAGTTTGCATACAAGCTGAAAAGGTCTATTAATATGGAAAGTCGCGATGAAAAGTTGCTCAAATTTCGGTCTCTTCCGAACATAAATTCCTAGTCCTGACACATTTTATGGCAACAAACCAAAATGGTATTTAAAATTTGCACAATATATCAAAGAGTATATCATATTTTAGAAATAGCAAAATCCAAGATGGCGGACAGTTCGTTGTCAAAATATCACCTGAAAGCAATTTAAAATGCGACAGTCTTTTAAAACAACATTTAAATTGCCACTCAACATTATTATTCATAAAAATTAAAGATACTATGAATCGATTTAATTAATATTTAATTCTGAAGAGAGATATATATATAAAAAATAAATTATAATACAGTGATTATAATATATCGTTTATCAAGATCCCGCTGTGTTAAATTAATAATTAATGCACGACAAAGAATAATAATGACCTTGGAAATGATTGCAAAAAATGTCTTTAATTTTAATAACGAAAACATTAACTAAATTACTTGCATATATATTTTTTCTTGTGTCACCGCATAATGCATGGTTTCGACTTTATTCAACAAAATATCTACAGCTTTGTTATATTTCTATTTTCTGGGATACTGACTTGAATATATACTTAGTAAGATCTGTTCACAGCACTCAATTTTGTCGGGTTTAGTCTGTTTATGTATACACACAATGTACGATGCCGATAAATATGATTATGGGAAGCAAATCAACTTAAAAGGGCTGCGTTCCGCTGTCGCGTTTTTTGCACACACGTAAAAGTTGAAAATCATTTAAATGATACTTATGAAATCAACGATTGAAAAGATGTATAGGGTTGGGATCTGTTGATGATTTGGTTTGTTTTTCGAGCATAAAATTCATTATACAACAACTAAGTTTCAAGCCTTTATGTGCGTGTTCGTACGTGCAAAAAACGTGACAACCCTTAAGGCTGTTTTCCACTTACGCGTTTTTCATACGCACGTACACGCACGTAAAAGTCTAAATCCTTATACATGTTACCTTTGAAAAAACTAAGTGAATAAATCAAAGGAACTTGGTTTTCTGCATATTTTAGTATGCATTAGTTGACCTGGATATTAAATAATAGAAAGTTAAAAGCATTTAAAATATTCCGTACGTGTTCGTGCGTAAAAAAAACGCGTAAGTGAAAATAAAGTGGAAAATAAAACGCGTAAGTGGAACTCTTTGCACGGGAGAAAGTTCTCGGCTGAGTATGCAGTGTATTGCAAGACTTGGAAGAAATATGGTTAAAAACAGTTGCCTTTGATGAAGATATAAATCGCTATAAATCTGTGAAACGATTTCCAAACACTCTCCTCATTCGAATTTGTCTCAATTAATTATTAATCCTTTTATGTACTGATTAACAAACACATGAAAGTGTTGATCGGGTGTATATAGAGCTAAGTGCACGTGACGCATTTTGGTCGATATGATTCGTCAAGTTTCTATATATAACTTAGTTTATCAGTTACCTGCTTATTTTGTCAATGTGTCCCGTTACTATGGCACCCACTTCAGTTAATCAACATTGCGTGGACTTGTAACTGGCCGCAACTTTTGTTCTCGCTAGGGCCTTGAGTTTTTTCAATTGCGATTGCTTTGATTTTTATGAACTTCTAGATGTGAGAACATTTCAAGTGAAGAGTTTAGTAAGTGGAAGTTATCATTGTTAGTATGCGAATGTAAACGCTTTTATATCTAATTAAAGAGAACAGGTATCCTAGCAAACTTGAGTCTGCTTGAATCTTTATTTTAAATAAATATGTAAATTGTTTAAACTACATATCTAAGATTTTCTAATACATGAGATACTATGATTATGATTTTTTTTCTATGTTTCGTAACAAAGACAGTTCAATGGAAATCGTTATTTTAGCATTCCGTATGAAAGTCATTTTAACTCATTGCTAAGAATCAGATGAAAAACAATAAACAAAGTTTCAAGCAAACAAAGTTGTGGTAGTATAGCTATAGAAAGATTAAATGCGTGGAGCTATAATGTAACTAATCAGGATCAGTCTACCTCAGAGTTAATTAGGGTTTAACTATGGAAGATGTAGTGAAAGTGTTTAAGGGGCTGTTTACATGAGCCCGGTTACCCGTGATACAACGAAGCGTGAGATGATTTTGAGGTATTGAAATGAGCAGATAACATGATCCTGGCAGTCGTATAATCACCACAACAATAGCATGTGCTTGTTTGGTGTTATAAAGACTTATTTCAATACCTCAAAGTCCTCTCACGCTTCGTTGAATCTCGGGTAATCGGGCTCATGTAAACAGCCACTAAGAATCAGATGAAAAACAAACAAAGTTTCAAGCAAACAAAGTTATAGTAATATACAGAAAGATTAAATGCGTGCAGTTATATGTAACTAATCAGGATCAGTTTATTTCAGAGTTAACTAGGAGTTTAGGATTTAACTATGGAAGATGTAGTGAAAGAGTTTTATACAACAGGCCCCTGGCCCAGGTGGATGATTTTATTATGCGCCATTACTATTAGACTTTTGTACTATTTTTAAAACAAATCCGAAATTTCCTCACGATAAAGTTGGGGTCGTCAGCCATATGAGATCGACTATTCTGACAGCCGATATACATTGCAATTTTGAGCTATATTTCGTTCCAGCACCTTAAGATATACACACGTGTGAAATGTTATAACCGCATAGTTTAAAAACGACATTCAGTCTGTTATGGCAACCGATAAAAACAATACGCAAGCATCAACCATGCAAAACCAAATCACAATAAGTTGAAATTAAGCTGTTTCCAGCCAATGTTTTATTATTTTTAGTAAGGTGTTTCCGAAGCCAGTTTTTGGAAAACGTGAAACGCTTTTACGTGAGTCTGATAGGAAACATTCTTTTTTTGTTCCTACGTACGGCATGTTATTACGCCTGAACAGGTGGGAAAACGGAGGGAAAAATCTTGAATCACAAATATTTTTGCACAACAATGCTTTTGAGCTTTTTTAATACAAGTTTAAAGCTTCGGAGTCTTTTTTACATGGGATTTTACCATTTGCCATTTGGAATGGCTTTGACGCATACAATCATAAAATTTAATTTCTAGAATTTTAAACTCGATGACAACGGCGGTAGTAAATGCAGGTTACCTAACTAGACGCTCCTATGTGAATGCAAATTAGAATCAATGAATTCAAAGAGTGCATCAGTTGAAAATTAATGCATTTTATCCCTATACTAATTAACGATTGCGATTTCGCCAAAGTATATTTTTTCACGTCCTGGTAAGATCACACCAATGAACGGTTGTGTTTATATCTTTGCAGGTTACAGAGGTAAAATGGTCCGTCTCTTCACTCAGGACTTGTTGTGGTGGTTGGTACTGACATATTGCTTTAAACAAAGTAAGCTATATAAGCATGTATTTGCAAAAACGTTGGCCGCAGATAGATATATAGATAGATACTCGAAATCTAATTAGCATTGCATATGTTGTGTAATATGATTGAAATCCCATGCAAATGTAATCATATGCAATTCTAATTAGACTTCGAGTATCTATCTATCTATCTATCTGCGGCCAACGTTTTTGCAAATGGGTGTATATATATATATATATATATATATATATATATATATATATAATATATATATATATAATATATATATATATCAAATATGTATTTAGAATCATATATGAGTAGAGTGCTCGATATACCAAAGTATAGAGCTAGTATAAAGATAAAATAAAATAAACTTGGTTTACTTCATAAGATTTTATTCACTACAAACTTGTTTCGTATGACAAGCAACGCTTGCCACACTCATCAGGTGAATTTAAAAAAAAATTTTAAATTCACCTGATGAGTGTGGCAAGCGTTGCTTGTCATACGAAACAAGTTTGTAGTGAATAAAATCTTATGAAGTAAACCAAGTTTATTTTATTTTATCTTATATATATATATTATAATATATATATATATTATATGTATATATATATATAATATATAATATATATAATATATAATATTATATATATATATATATATATTTTTTTTTTTTCTGGTGTTTGTGTACAGATATATATAGAAACGCGCACGTGGGAGTTTGGGAGAACGAGAAATAACCATGCATGCTGGGCTTTTCTTACTCTCGCAACATTTGGATCCAGTGGCGTAGCCAGCACGATTGGGGAGGGGGTATATTCATGTATTCGTGACACGCAGTATTATTTTCTTTTCAAATCAATTGTCTTTGTTATCATGAATATATGAATATTGGCCCCGCGAATTATCGATGCTGGCTACGCTACTGTTTGGATCAGGCCATTCAAACACTGTTTAATGATATATAGTAAATTAGTAATGGACTAATTTTCTTACTAGTTGTCGCTTCCAAAGACTGCTCTGATAATGGCCATGAATGTCAGAATGGAGGGGTATGCGAGGGAAGTCCACTGGAATGTTCTTGTCCCCCGGCCTATCGTGGTAAAAAATGTGACCGTAAGTAGCGTTTATTAAAGCCCCGTTTACACTACACTAGATTTATTGGCGCTGCATGGCTAAAATGGGTACCTGTGCCCATTTCATCCGTGCCCGGCTTTTGTTTTGGTAGTCTGAACACTAAAAAAATTGTGCACGGGTACCCATTTTAGCCGTGCCGTGCCAATAAATTAAGTGTAGTTTATACAACGGGGCTTGAGATTCATAATAAAGTTCTGAAAAATTCGGATTTGAGTTTCAAAAATTTGGTGAGTCACGTTTACAGTTATTTGTTAAGGTGGTCTACTACATGCATTGAAAATTAGGATTTATCCTGTTTTAAATTAAATATTCCAAGGGATGCTATTTCAAATCGCTCCCCAATTGGCCCTGATTTTTTTGCTTTACGAAATGAAATGTTTCATTAATCGGGGTTTAACACTGAGCAAACAGAATAGTCGATTGGCTTATTTTATTGTTTTATTGTTCTATTGTGTTGTTCTCTATCGTTTATGAATATTTGCAAAAACATTTTTGTTGCTTTTTTAGCGAACTAAAATTAACTTTCCCCTTTAAAGGGGATCCAGTTGTCAAAATGTTTTTCTTTAATAGTGGATATAATTAAGTTTTAACATCACCTTTCTCATAATAATTATTACTATACAAGTTATTCTGAATAAAAAAGGAGCTGCATGAGAGTGTAGCTATATCAATAGTTTTTTCGGCTCAAACGTTTTTTTAACAAAATTCTTTTAATTGTCATTTGCTTAGAAACGCACAATAATTGTAATCATGATCCATGTTTACACGGTGGTACGTGTGCGGACGTGCATTCGGGATTTTCGTGCTCATGCACTCCGCAATATGTTGGAACATACTGCGAGACAGGTATATATCTTTGGCAGAAACCAGGGAGTTTTAGCAGTGACTATACGCTTACAAGATTCGTCATTTTCCCGCCAAACGGTGCTTTTTGCCTACGCCATCTGACGAAACCCGATGTCATTGGACTTTCCAGTACGAAATTTATCAACAAACTCGTACTCAGGCGCCGGTTGTATCCGTGGTTGTATATGAAAGCCGGATAGCGCTATCCACCGGATAGTGATTTTTTAATTTCAACCGTCCTAGAAAAGCTTGAAGAGCAATAAAATTTCATATATAGTGGTTTGTTTATTGAAATCTTATCCAAACTAATAGGGCAGGAGCAAGCTATCCCACTTTAGTGATTGCAGTTTCAATCTGACCAACTTTGGCAATGGTTGAGATTATACTGGTAAATCCTAAAATAGAGTAAATACCTCTCTTACCACATTTCCCGTTGGATACTGACACAAACTGGGCGCGATTTGCCAACGCGACGCGATTTTACGGATTTTTCCGTTTTCAAAATTAGTTATTTCTTAAATGTTGTGATATTCTTGGTTAATAACTGAATGATAATACATTATGACTGGTCTGGTACCTATATCTCTCATATTTTGGGCCGACTGTTATACCTTTGTATTTGCAGAGGCCCCTTGTTATTCCAACCCATGTCAACATGGTGGAACATGTACTGAGGTAAATGAAGATGGCACGCATCAATACCGATGTACTTGTCCTCCTGGATATGTTGGGACTAACTGTGACGGTATGGAATTTGTATTCATTTATGTTCATCAAGCGAGATACCTGAAATTATATTTCTAATTTACCCATAAAGGTTATATACAGTCGTGGTTGCGCCCCGGGTCTGCTCATAAGTCATAACCATGTCGAAAATTGCCTCAGATTTTTCTGGACTAAATACTAGACCCCGTTTATAAGGCACCTGACGAATTTATACCCGCGGTTCGTCGTATATAGATCTTGAGTTCTTTTCAACTGTTTTTCCAAAAAGAAACGAGATAATATCAACTCGTACCGCTTCAAGATTACATATTGAGAGCCAGGAACTTTTCTCAAAATGCCATAGTCAGATGAGTTACAGCTTTGAATGTTTATTCCATGTGGTCATGCAATGGTGATATCTTTCTTTTGAAGTTTTCACAGCTAACATGCCTCTAAGCTGATGAGTTTTTTTTTATATAGAGCAATGCAGTCTCTCCTGCATACCTGGTCAAGGCTTATGTTTAAGTAACTTCAAGGGAAATCACTACTGTTATTGTATAATCGGTTTTTCTGGTACTCTCTGCGAAATATGTAAGTATACTATAAAGCCTGGTTTCCATATGACGACGACCTGTTGCCAAACGGAACGTAAACGTCAAAGACGACGTGAAAATGGCGCGTAAATGGCGTGGCATGTTCATATTTGGGCGCATCACGCCATTTATTCGCCATTTTCACGTCGTCTTTGACGTTTACGTCCTCATGCTAAATCGCTCTATTGTCTGTAATCATCCAAGGAGAAAATTATTTCAGAAAGACAAAAGATTTCACCTCTTAAGCATGTAGGATGGGAACACGACGACGGCAGCTATGAATACAATGCTTCATTGAAAAGAAATGAATTATTAAATACCTATGGGAGTTTTAGACGTGATCTACGTTCTGTTTACAACGGCGAAATGTCGTTTATTACGTCCTATGTAGAACGTCTGCATTTCAGGACCCAGTGAGGGCTACCTCGAATTAGGCTCTACTGTATAGAATTGTCCCTAAAAGTAAACCCGTCACGGTCGCATAGACAGAATTTCAAAAGCCGCTTCGCCCGCGCGTGTGAAAGGGACGGTAATGGAGAATAGCCTTAATAATACTTTGTAATAATACGTCGGCGTCATATGGAAACCAGGCTTAATATGTCGAACAGCATCACTTCAATACTTTAATAGGATGCCTTAGATTTATTTTTAAATCCCATTTCTATAGATAATTGACGGCCTGGCGATCACTGCATCGTGTGACACGGCCTTAATTCTTCGTTTCTACTTTCAGCTGAAATGGCGAATTTTGAATGTGAAAACCCTCTTGGAGTTGACGACAGCAAACGTTTAATCCAAGATAACCAAATGGGCTCAAGCACACCTATTAATACCGAGTTTGCGGCTAGGTACGGACGGTTGAATCACCCTGACAGAGCTTGGTGCTCAATGATCCCAACACCTACCAAGCAGATGTCTATGAAAATTACCTTGAACAATGTTAGTTTCATCTCAGCGCTCGCGATGCAAGGAGATCCCAATGGCAACAATTATGTCAATGAATTTCAGATAACAGTTCTAGAGCCGGCAGATGTTTCAAGGGTTATAGGGGTACGTGTTTTAGGCAGACGTTGGTAAGGGTAAGAAATTAAAAATAATATATAATTATCATATTAACTGTCGTTAAAAACTTACATTGAAACGGTTGGCAAAATATTGCTTCATTTCATCAGCTGCCATTGTTTAATTCATTCGTTGGAAAGTCGGTAAGCTCTTAAATGTTATAATCGACCAATGGATAGATAATTGAAGCATATGGGGTTTAAAATGTTAATTTTGACTGATTTCGATTATTTTCGAGCAAACATAACCTTATTTGTGTTATTTCTCCAATTTTCTTTAGCCGTTTACAAACCAATACAGCGATCCATATTCGATAAACAAACATCGCTTTCATCCTTTTCTACAAGCCATCGGAATACGCGTGCGCGTCCTTGCATTTACTGGACACTATCCGTGTATTCGTGTTGAACTCTATGGCTGTGCAGTGTGTAAGTCTCGAATGAGGGAAAGCAACTGCCGGGGGGGATGCATGAATAATTCAAATACCTTAATTTTTGACACCCCAGACATCGCAGCATGACTGATTCGGTCGTTTGCAACCGGACAGCTCCGCCTGATTGTAACAATTACCAAATTTAGACCAGGAGGAGCAGTCCAACTATATTCAAGCAGCTTTGGTTAAAAATATTTGCATATATGGCGTAACATTTGCATATATTGCGTAACATTTGCATATATAGCGTAACATTTGCAAATACGACGTAAGGTAGTTAATCCAATTTCTAAAAATCCCGAAATATAATCTTCACTTTAATCCTAAACCTGACCCTAACTCCAAAGGATCAGATTGAGGGTTAAATTTGCGGATTATGGACATGAAATTATGGCCTAAATATATACAAATGAAATGTTAAAATGATCTACCTTCATTGAGTTGATCTTCTGAACCAAAAATTGCTTAGTGGATGTATGTGGGTAGATTTTTTCCTGCTCAGTTTTATGAGCTGTCCTACGTTTATTACGCATGCGCAAACCGTAGGAAAACTGAAATACTTTCTTCAAAATTTTCAGCGCTGGCCGAGCAATCTATGACCAACTGCTTGACAACACTTGGATTACGAGATTCTCAAGCATTTCCCGATTCGTCGTTTACGGGCAGCGATGATCTAGATGATCATAAACCTCATAACAGCAGGCTTGACGACCCTAAGGGTTGGTGTACAGCTGACAAATCGGGCCCAAAGCTCCTTGTACAACTGCCAAAACGTGATTTACAGGTCAGATATTAGCACTATTAGGTCGGTATGCAGACTCCAAACTTTGCTGCCTCGTGATCCATAAGAACTCTAAAAACAACTGGATTGTTATAACATTTCCCTTTGCATTTCCCTTTAAGCTAGAGTTTTAAAGTTTAATTATAACAATGAATAAAGAAATCAATCACGCAATTTTCATATACTGCGTTATCGCCTACCATTACACCGAAATAGGGTAGGAACGGTCATTCTGGATTCATTTTAGAATTTATATGGTGTCTTGAAACGGGACCACCGTTGCTCACGTCATATAGGTCCTTGCTCTCATGCGTAAGTTTGCTCACCGAAAATAACTGGCTCGTAATTCGGATTTCGGAATGAGCGATGTTAAAAATTGATTGAAATATGATATAAATTTAAGTATAAATTTCTGAAATTCGTGTTATATTTTACTTAAAATTCAAATCGTCAAAAACGCCATAAATTTGCGCAGAATCCTCACTGTTACTGTTGTTTAAAATGTAGGCCCGCCCACAAACCTAAACAATATCAGTCTGCGGTAATTCTCATCGACGCGAGGATCTATATGACGTAAACAACGATGGGGACACATTAAGACCTCGAGCACCAGTGAACTCTATATATATGGAAGGCTCGCTCCAGTTCAAAGTGTGAAGCCAAACATGGCGGATCATAAAGGCTGCTTGGGTACCGAACCAGTCCTCCAAGAAGCGTAAAATGCGCGAACAGCGCGTGGAAATTCAAAACACGAATTATAAAACCTTGACGAAAAATAAAAAAGCTAACATTTCGGACGTTACAAAGTTTTAAAAATACGACGTTTTTAAAAATGAATACATACAATTTGTTACAACCTTACCTGCCAATGTTATTCTTTTTAGAGAGGTAACTTATGATGTATATTTGTGTTGTGTTTACAAAACTGACCGAGTTCAACTCCTACACGTTGCCGCCATATTGAATTTTAACCGCTCGTGCTTGGAGGTCTGGTTCGGTACCCAAGCAGCCTTCATGATCCGCCATGTTTGGCTTCACTTTTAGATTACGCAATGTACTAGAGCGAGCCTTTCATATATATAGAGTTCACTGTCGAGCACTCCATACATCTAATTTGGTCAGTGGGGAGTACCTTTTGACCTTTGTCAACAATTTTTATAAACCGTTAGCGATCCGGTTGAACCGGTTCGGATGGGAAAACCCAGATCGCAAACGAAGCACTTTGATTGGCTAAAAGGCGTGGATAGCAGAGGGGGAAAATAATGTCTTCTATTTCCAGGTTGTTGGTGTGATGACCAGGGGTGCGGACTCCAAATGGGTCAAATCCTACAAAATTGGTACATCAGAAAATTGGGCGAAAGTTGCTAATTACAAGGTATGTAACTTACATTCATATATTAGAAAATCGTTACTCTAAATGACTTACATCGTCTTTATCTTAGAGCTCCATGTAGGTAGGTTGTAATTTTCTTACACTTACTAAAAAATTGTGTAAAAATGAAGTCGGTGAGGTGCTTTTTCCTGTTTTTGAAATTATTCCAGCACATGTAGCCCGTTGCTTTTTCCTGTTTTTAAAATTATTCCAGCACATGCAGCCCACTGATTTTCCCTGTTTTTGAAATTATTTCAGCACAGCAGCCCGCTGATTTTCCCTGTTTTTGAAATTATTCCAGCACATGCAGCCCACTGATTTTCCCTGTTTTTGAAATTATTTCAGCACAGCAGCCCGCTGATTTTCCCTGTTTTTGAAATTATTCTAGCACATGCAGCTCGCTGATTTTTCCTCGAACCTTATTGTGTTGTATTTTTATACTAGATATTGGAGGGAAATTATGAGCAAAATGAAATCCGTACTCATTTTTTTGATACTTCCATCCCACTTCAAAATAATGGCACCCTTCTGACTATTAAGCCTCAGACTTTTACAACTCGGCCTTGTATGAGATTTGAACTAATCGCGTGTGGTAAGTTTCCCGTACTGTAGGGAGAAAAGTACCTGGTATTTAATTAAACATTTCTCTAACTCTTGACGGTTATGTGCAATAAAATTATGATAAAAGTTTTATGTCAGATTTCTCATATCGTGCTTTGTCCATGAAATATTTTGATTAAAAGTAGCCAACTGTCCGCCATGTTGAATTACTTTCTAACCTCATTAACTATAGTTTTGATTAGGTTAAATGCGGGATTAACCTTTCAGATTACTTCTCAGCATTGCAAAAAATTGAGTAATAAAGTAAGAATGAAAACTTCGTCTATAAGATCTATTTCAAGTTTAAATTGAAGCCTAGGTATCCTGTTGTAAGTTTCGTGGCATTTTCATCATCAGCAGTCCAGATAAAAATGATACGTTATCCCACCTGTCATGTATTATGACTATTCGTGATAATCCAAGATGGCGGACAGTTGGCTAATTTTTTTCAAAATATTTCATGAACAAGGCACGATATGAAAAATCTGAAATAGAACTTTTGTGATAATTTTAAAAACTCTTTCACATAAGACACTAATGCTAACAACTAGATTTTTACGGGGGAAGTCCTGTCCTCTTTGCTACCATAATATTCGCGATAAAGATTAACATTTAGATTGTAATTCTTAAATAATTTTATACGACTATGTTTTTTTCGTGATGCATGCTCTTCGCTTTATACGTACTGATATTTTGATAATATTATGAAAATACCTTTTTTGTGAATTGTTTGAGATTCCCCTCCTAGCGATGGCTAAGGAAGAATAATTTTTCACTCGTTCTTCGTAGGAGTTTCAAAGATTAAACGTGACGATACACAATTTACTCTCTTAGAATAAATACACCTTAATAGACCTTTGGGGTGCTAACGTTACACAGTCTTGAATCTATGTAAAATGAGGTTCATTTTTCCTGCACGTTTCCCACACTGCATTGCAATGTATTGTGTGACAGTCCCGTGACGTAAGCACCTCTAAGGTCTATTCATAGTGGGTCTATTAGCCATTTCCCAACCGAGCAGGGGAGCCCCTGGATCTAGTCGCGAACCGCAAGGCATCTATGGACTGTTTGGAGGGACAGGAAATGTAAGTCTGAAGTCATTTGTCCCTCCAAACAGTCCATAGATGCTTTGCGGTTCGCAACCAGACCCAGCACCCTGCTCGATTGGGAAATGGCTAATTACACCCTTTGATTGCATTCCAGTGTGCTTTACAGCTCAGCGGCCGACGGCAGGCCCCACTGATCTGTGACGTGCACTGGAAGGAGGTGCTGTTGTGTACATACCCTAAACTCCGGCCAATCAGGAATATAGGTATTCACAATTAACGCGTTCCGTTTAGATACACGCCCGAATCCATGTCTTTCAAATCCTTGTCATCATGGGGGGACGTGCGATAGAACGCAAGACGGCGGATACACCTGTCGCTGCAACAATGGATCCAGCGGTGTTCACTGTGAGAATTTCGGTAAGATCTCTTCGTTTTGGGGGATCATGTCACAAATCTTTGGATACGTACTAATTCATTCAGGGCAGATTTGCGTAGAAGCAGTGGGTATGCGGGTACCACCCGGGAAATTTTTCGTTATATTCCCGAGAGGTTAAATGTAAAATGGAGGACGCTACTCAATGGACGCTACTGAAATAGATCGTAGCAAACATACGAATTCGCGCGACCAAATCATAGCAACCTCAGCCAGTGAATTAAACAACTGGGTGTCTGAGAGAAGTTAGGCATTTGCTGTACAACCATGGAAAAAAGTAGTCATAATATTGTCTATTTAGATGATTTTATCACATTTTATAACTTGGGCACAATTCATTCCTATCTTTGTGGATGTCTCATATCCCGTGATTTTTTATGTCTCTTACAGCATGCAACACAACGTGGTTGGAATTTCCTCACGAAATTGTCGCTTCAGACTTTGAAGATGGCTTCAAGAACTATTCACTGAGTGATGTCGGAGCATGGTGTTCAAAAGAAGGAAGCGACCCTTGGCTAAAAATAAATTTCGCCAGCGCGATGAATGTTTATGGATTCGGTTTTGGAACCGCCTCGAATATCTCCATCATGTCATATTCCAAGACCGTCGAAGCGTCAACCCGCCTAACTGGTGACTGGGAGCCTGTCACTAAGACACTTGTGAGTTCTTTTTAATTGTTTTGGCATCATCAATTAAGGTGCCTTTCACACCTAGTACTCTTTAAGATCCATCCAAATTAGCGGACCCACGTGAAACCCTGGTTTGCAAAAAGACTTCAGGGATTCGAGGAAGGTGCAATGTATAATGGTGGATCTCATTCAGGAGTAAAAATAGACAACAACAAACCAAAGTATATAAAAGTCAGGCAACAATCCCAGATCATCAGTACATTAAATACAGCTGAGTTTTCGCTCTGTTGCGGTGCAGTATCAGTTGTATATATTATTGTTTTATTATCACTAAATATCTTATTCGCATTATCATGCGATGATCAACTAGAAGCAGATTTTTCAAAATGGCGACGACTAGTGATTTCGTCAAATTGACGGGAAAAAAATGTATATCTGAAAGAAATTCTGTACCAATGAAAGAAAAATGCCCTAACATTAAGTTATTTCTAGAAATGTTAAAATGGCAGTTTCTTGTTGTACTGATACGAAATTCCTTCTTTTTCACATTTTAATATCCATATGTTCACGTCCGTCGGTATTACCCCCCTCCACTTGACAAACTCCCCCCCCCGTCCTCTGCCTCAAAAATTGTTTGATGTGCGCCTCTTATTAACTCCAATTCGATTCATGCTTTCAGGAATTACGTGGCCCACATAAACCAGGTGATGCGATCTACCATTACTTCGAACCTCGTCCAGCGTTAACAGTTAAATTACAATTCCATGACTTTCAGTCTGATCCGAATTATGGCAAATGTGCTCGCGTCGACATCAAAGCCTGTCCTTACGGTAAGATTAACTTGAAGTTTTTTCGGCAAGTATTCATCTTGAAGTGGGGATTATTGCAAAGTGCATGCAATGATATCAATACGATTTGCACCGTGATAAATAACGGAGATTTTTACGACATTCACCATGTATTTAGTATTCATACACTATACACACATTTCTCGCGCTTTTGGGCTGTGATAAAATTTCTTAAACTTGGAATAATCCTTATCTTGAAGATTAGACTAAAGATAATCTTAAAGATTAGACTGTTTCCGGCTAGGACGGGAAAACGTGCACTTTAAGAAATAACCATCAGGTTACTTAGCCTATTATATGAACAGTTTTGTATTTGGGTGTGTCTAATAACACACGTATTTCTAATTTATTTGCTTTTAAAGTTTGATATCTCACTGTCCGGTTAGCTTAACCCTGGGTTAAAGCAAATCTTTACATTAATTTTTTAATAGCTTGTTTACAAAGTTGAATATCGTTTCTCATAAATATTTACTGCACCGATAGAAGTCATATCTTCTAAAGTTTTCAAACGAACAGTGGTTCAGAAGCACATAAATTGAAATTTAACCCAGGCTTAGCGCTAACCTACCTTTGAACAACTGGCCCCTGGTCTATAGTCATCACACAACCCGCCCTTAAACAGTGTGCCATCTTCAGATCTCAATACAACAATCAACCAATCAGAAGCCAGATCCTCGGCAAAGCTGAACTATTACTCCTTTCATTTATTTTTAAATTAGAATCTTCCTTTTGCGCCCTTTATACTATTAGAAGAAAGGACGGGGACAAATTACTCCAGGCGCATGATGGCTCAGTTTTGTCGAGGCGCCTTAATGACGTCATGATCATATATCAGCTGGTTGGCAGGCAGTCAGGCAGGGAGTAAAGATATCATTTCTTTTCAGATTTCTGTGCGGAAAGTAAGCCTTGCCTGAACGGAGGAACTTGCCAAGGAAGTGATGTACATGGCTTTCTTTGCCACTGTCCATGGAGTTTTGAAGGCCAGTTTTGTGAGCTTGGTGAGTTTGTTTTTAAGTTACATTCATTTTACACTGGGGCTCGGTAAATGGTCGATAAATAAAATTTGTAACAATAAAACTTTTTACAAACCTGAAAAGCATCAGAAGGTATAATCTAAAATGACACTTTAATCGAAGCAACGTTTGTATTTATTTCAGTGATAATGGCGTTGACATTTATAACATTGTCGATAGCTGCATTGTATTTTGAAAAACTCTTGTTGCTTGGAGTTTTGCAACAACGTTGCTGTGTTTTTCAAGACTTACACCACTACATAATCTAAATAACAAAGTTAAAATAGAAGATTTTATGTTTTGAACGTTTTCACTACAAAATACACGACCTATGGGAAAATATACCCCGAGTATAAAAAAATATACTGTACCCCGAGAAATTATACCTCACGACTGTAACCGAATATTGAGTCCCACAATTTACTTTTTTGAATAGCAAGAAAGAAAAGTTTTTAAGCTTTCTTACGATATCGTTTTATGAGTCTTAATAATGGCTGGAAATAAGCAAATAATCGTTAGTTAAAGATTGCCAGTCGAAAACCACGACATTCTTGCAATCCCGGAAATTGAATGCGCATTCTGGTTGGCTGATACACGCGTCAAACTCTTGTAGGTAGTAAAATTTGAACCTCGTTAAATTGGTAGCGGGCGGACGGAAGAACTTGCAGGCAGCAACTCCCACCCGTTCCGCCCGCGAAAATCATTTTGACATTACAAAAGGTAGCTTCGGGAAAGGGTGGTGTGAAATATTGAGTTTATGTAATCTATGCAGGAGAAAGTGCACGACTTTTTATGCATGACTAGAGAAATATTCTGCTTTTCTTGTAGCGATAAAGTTGTCTGGTTGTCTCCCATCTCTGGGTGTCTCGAGCAGTGACAGAGTTCCTGATAACCGTATCAAGTCTCTCGAATACATCTCGGGCCAAGAACCAAAAGAGATTCGATTGGGCAATAAAAATGGTGCCTGGTGCGCGGAAAAAGGTGCGAACGCAACACTAACAATCACTTTTTCTAGTTTAACTCTGGTGATTGCTATGGTAACTAAAGGACATCCAGACCCAGGCTGGGGTTCTTGGGTGAAATCCTACAAGGTTAAAACCGGCCGAAAATGGACGGCATTTCCTGGAAACTCCGACGGTACCACTGCCAAGGAAAATTACTTTGAAGAATATATTCCCGCGTTGAACTTTTTGTTAAGGCCACGTGGAAGTGAAAAATACAAGTGCACGAGATTGGAGTTATTTGGAATAAATGAAGGTAATCCAGTGAAGTAATCGAATATGATATCAGTATATGTATACACTTGCAACTTTTGCTGCGATTTTATGTGCGATTTTCCTCTTTTGATAGATGGAGTGAGTGAATTAGTTACTGAAGTTCAAATAAGAGCTCTTATACATCAGAACATTCGTAACTAATTACTCGTTCACATCTATCGAAAGGAGAAAATCGCAGCAAAAATCGCAAGTGTAAACGAGCCTTTAGACAAAGATACTCTGGTACGGGCATAAATGGATACAGTCACCTGTTAGTTATCTGGAACCGGTTGTACGAAAGCTGGAGAGTGATTTTTTCAACCTGTCTAAAAATACTTGAAAGCAATAATTTTTCAGTTTAGGAACCAATAATTATTAAAGAAGATCCTTAATTTAGGAATACTAAGATTTCATTAAAGTCTCAGCCAACAACGGGCGATTTTAAAGCGATTGGAAAAAACACTATCCGGTGGATAGCGCTATCCGGTCTTTATACAACTCGCCCCGGTTCCTTTCGAATACGAACAGCTTAAAGCATGAAATTTCGGTCAATTGTTTTTCAAATGTTCCCTCGGGTTTACTACAGGCAGACGCCTCTTTAATACAGACAGGCGCTTCTCTAATGCAGACTGATATCCCTAATACAGACTGACATCTCTAATACAGACGCCTCTTTAATACAGTCAGATGCCTCTCTAATGCAGACTGATATCCCTAATACAGACAGACATCTCTAATACAGACGCCTCTCTAATACAGACGCCTCTCAAATACAGACAGACATCTCTAATATAGACTGACATCTCTACTACAGACAGACATCTCTACTACAGACAGACATCTCTAATACAGACTGACATCTCTACTACAGACTGACATCTCTAATACAGACGCCTCTCTAATACAGACGCCTCTCTACTACAGACAGACATCTCTACTACAGACCGACATCTCTAATACAGACGCCTCTCTAATACAGACTGACATCTCTAATACAGATTGACATCTCCACTACAGACAGACATCTTAAACAAAGACGCCTCTCTAATACAGACAGACATCTCTCTAATACAGGCGCTTTAATATTGAGATTTTTCTACTGCAGCACATCCGGCTTATACGCTGCTGTTTTATTTCTAGAAACTTTGACTCATTTTGTTTTGGTAAATACTACGGCAATGCCCGACAATATCTTTACCGCGAAGACGTCAATGTTGGGTTTCGAGCCACACAAAGCTAGATGGAATAGCTCAGGCTGGTGTAGTCAGAATAGCAACTCGACTGACGAATATTTACAAATTGGGCTGCCTGAACTTTACCGCATCAATGTTCTTGCCACGAAAGGATCACCCTCTGTTAATAATGAGTTTGCTTGGGTGAAATCATATAATCTGAAGCACAGTTTAGATGGAAAAAATTGGAAACAAGTTAACATTACGAATGAAACACAAGTAAGTATATAAACGATAACCCGGTCAAGGTTGTCGGTTTGTTTTTATTTGGTTTGTTTTTTATTTGGTTTGTTTTTTATTTAGTTTGTTTTTTTATTTGGTTTTTTTTATTTGGTTTGTTTTTTATTTAGTTTGTTTTTTTAGTTTTTAGTTGGTTTGTTTTTTATTTGGTTTGTTTTTTATTTGGTTTGTTTTTTTTATTTGGTTTGTTTTTTTATTTGGTTTGTTTTTTGTTTGTTTCTTGTTTGTTTGTTTCATATAATAGTCACTACACTTTTAAACTTTCATTTTTTTACCATATTTTTCCCTTTTAAACAATCCGTGATTCTACTTTGAATCCCTTTGAAAGTGGTCGTTTCTTTCAAGTC